CCTTGACCTCTTGGCCACCTCCTCTAGCCTTACCGTTCGGCCTAGTCGCCAGAGGAGCGAAAACCGTGAGCCACCACCCAAAATTTAAACCCAATTCAAACCTTGAGGCCACCTCATCCCATTTTAAATTTAGAGCTTCTCTGCCCTCCACATAAGCATCATTTTACACCCCTCAATTGGTTTACAGAACCACCCTAAGCCATTTTTATAAAACCTCCACCTCTATGGCCATAGAAGTGCTAAAAATTTCTCAAGGATACTATCTTAAATCACTCTCTTAGCTTCCTTGAGACCTCCACAGTGCAACCCAACCACTCTATTGCCCTAATTCCCCTTGCCAAAGTTCAATTTTTGAGCTCAAATCCTTGTCAGAGACAGAGCAATCTCCACCACACCTTCACAGTGCACCAAGTACAAATTAAACTCACCCACACCTTCACCACACTGAACTAAAATAAAGCCCTATCAAATCCCCCTCATACAGAGTCTCTAGGATAGTTCAAGACCAACACCAAAATCTGGCCTTGATCGAATTCAGGTCTAGACCTTTCACCGCGACCAGAGGCTCAATCCTTAGTCTCCTTAGACCTCCACGAACATGTCGAGCACCTCTGATTGAAGCTTCCATTCTCAGAGAAAAGGTATTGAACTTCCTCTCTTTCCGAGTCTCTTCCCGAGCCTATTTTCCCGAGCCTATTTTGATTCTCCATTTAATTATAATTAATTTAATGACATCTTTACCATATTGAAGTGTTCGTCACACTTAGACCAGTCCATAGGATCAAACCCCACGAGATTTGATTGAGTCTATAGGGAGATCTTGAGGTTTTAGTGTGGACAATTCTCAGGTTAGCCTATTTGGGGTCGATGACTGGGAGACGTTTGATCATTCGTTTATCTCGTTAACGGATGAGATCTAGCCGGATGAACTCTCAGTGCATGAACTGCGGGTCGCGTGGCATGCCAAGGTGGAAAGTTCAATGAATGGGAGTGCGCCACTGCATCGCCGTTCGAAGCTGCCTAGGATGAGGTGGAGCCGCACATTTAAATAGATAAATAAGGAATTAAATAAATTAGAAACTAATTCCTAATTTCAAAAATTCATATCTTGGTGTAAAAAAATCACAAAAATAAAATAAAAATACACTCTTGCTGAGTGAACAAAAGAGAACAATGGGAAAATAATTTGAAGTTTATGTGATGCATATTTTATTTTTAATTAATTAAACACTGTTTGAGTCTTTTAATTTTCCATGCATGTAGACATTTCACCATGCCTTGAAATTTTGACATGTTGTTGCCTCTATCTCAGGGAACCTTCTCTAATTTTGCCAAAGTCAGAGGAGATCTCTAGACAAAGATCCATATTTTTCAAGTTTATGTCTATTATTTGCATAAATTAATCATAATAATTAGCATGTTGCTTAGAAAATTCCAAGAAAATTTTGAAAGGTTTATTGTGGCTAGAGAACCCTTTGAGAAATATTTCATGGGCTAAGTTATTAAGAATACACTTAACTTTCACCAAACCCACTCAAAGAAAATTAATTTGGGAAATATAAACATCGAAATCTAAATGACTTATTTTTAATATCCATTAAGATT